GTCTTAAAGTTTCGAGAAATCCTCTAATAGGTGGGAGTCGTCGAGGGTGGAGCCAAGTGAACCCATTATATGAACGTCCCCTCAACAGTGTATAAGTGCGACTCTGAATAGTGAGGAACTAGTGCGGTTAGAAATTAAATGGTGTAATGGGTAATACAATTGCAAATCATGTTCGCGGTAAAAAAGGGGAGTGTTATCTGGGGCGGGGCTTCCAGTGAGGCTCACCCCACGGGGAAAAGTAGTGGACTCACGCTAGGGCTTGGGAGAATTCAACCCGTCCGCAACGAATCAGCGGCGGGGTAGCGCATGCGGCGTTATGTTTACGGTATGTTTGCGAAGACGTCATTGATTTATGGTGAACGTGCCGCAGCATGTCAAGTCGTTGCGCGTCGCCACAACACGGATCTCTTGGCCCACGTCCGTTACCATATAAGACAGAGACGACTTGGTTAAGCCAAAAGGAGCGAAGGTTAACGAGGCAAAGCATAAGCAACTGACCGTCTCCGCCCACACGATCAGCGCGAACTAGGCCTGCAAGTCGCATCATGCTTCGGTAGGGCAGGGTGAGTTGGCGCCATAACCACCTGTATGGTGTGCTGATGGAAATAAATCAGTTCGAGATCAACCAAACCTCCCACCCTATGAGTCGTTTAGCGTCCTGGACGTAGGGATCTTAGAAGATAGCAAGGCTAATTCGCGCTGATCGTATGTCTGGAGTTGGGACTATCGAGCATGCTCTTTGTCGCTTTTATGCAAAAGACGAGCAAAACAGTAAGGAGGACACAATGGTTGGCCTGGCTCCGCCCATTCCACGGTCCCGGAATTGTAAGTGTTACTGGGATTCTGGATGGAATTAGAATCCCAAAACACTGATTTTTTTTTCAAATTCAAACCTAAATTCTATTTCCAGGTTTATCGATAATCTAACGAAAGCATTACAGGTGGTGCACAACTATGGCCACGGCGGTAGCGGTTTCACCATTGGATGGGGTACTGCCCTTCATGCCAGTGGTCTTGCGTTGGATCAACCGGTTGATAAATACGAAGAACTGAGAAAGGCCGAAACGTCGTTGAGCAAACCTAAAAGGAGATCCGGCTACAGTTTTTGGAATCCTAGACGTGTTCGATCTCATGCCTAATATATCATAAATATTGTCGCTCATCTGTTGAACGCTACACCATATAGGCACACTCCATACCCGAGGAGATGGGGAGGGTGTGACTGTGGCCACTTTTGCTGGGATATTGCCGCTTTGGAACGTAACCATGTCCTTGTCCAGCACAAGAAAGAATTACAGGCTTGTCAAATGGGAATATCCCCGCAGACACGTTCTACTTTGGCGCAGATGAAGTACGCAGTCATGTCCTCTCCATATCTGGGATACTGAAGCTATACTTGTTCAAAGACGTAAAATCTTCCCAGTGGTAAACCTTATTTCACGGCCGAAGATGTGGCAGTGGCAAGTGACTTCTCTATAAGAGCGGTCAAGACTATCGTGATCTGTCGCACCGTCGCGCTCAGCGATTGACGCTACCTTTCCCCAGCTTGCATTAACCGTCATTTGCTCGCGCGACGTGGCAACTCAACTTCCACCCCCCGCTTCCTCCACTCTTGCATGGCGAATTTACTGCCTGTCATCATCCCGCCGCTATACACACGTGTCGACACGAAGTTAAATACTAAGTCGCAGTCTACATCACCACGGGGGTGGGGGCAGAGGACGGGAGTGAGGAAGTGAAGGGAGGGGAGGAGGGGCGAGGGCATTTCGCATTATTGTTACTTCTCAAGTGGGGTGCGGAGCCATCAACTCGAGGCTAGTGAATCTTGTGAAGGCCATAACAAACCCACCACCCAACTCTGTAGGGGTGAGGTTGGACAACGGGAGCATTCTGCTCTTTCGCTGCTTCTCTAGTTCCGATTTACAAGTCTCATTTATTTCATACATTTACAAGTCTGAAACCTGCGAACTCTTCTGTAGCTGGAGCAAACTCACTGAGCCCCACTACGGTAAAACCTGTGACCTAACAAGTGGCTCTCTATTCAGATGCGTCGACACGTCAATGGAAAGTAAGGCTGCGTTCATACTTTGCGGCAGCGTAGCGTAACGCTTCCAGCGTTTTACTAGCGCTAGTGTTTGCAGCGGCGGGGCTAGAGAGTATAGAAGAGTAGGAGAGTACAAAATACTCTCCTACGCTAGAGAGTATAGAAGAGTAGGAGAGTACAAAATGCTTTCCTACGCTAGAGAGTATAGAAGAGTAGGAGAGTACAAAATGCTCTCCTACGCTAGAGAGTATCGAAGAGTAGGAGAGTATTTTGTACTCTCCTACTCTTCTACACTCTCTAGCCCTGCCGCTGCAAGCGCTAGCGAAACGCTAGTGAAACGCGCTTCGCGTCCGCTAAGCTGCTGCGGCGCTCAGATCGATACTTAAACATCCCGTCGCGTCGCTAAGCGGCTGGCGTAACGCTAGCGGTACGCTGGTAGCGCGTTGGACGCTAAGTCGACACCTATGCTCTTCCCCTCCAGCTCGGCTGGCGACGTTGGAAGCGCTACGCTACGCTGCCGCAAAGTATAAACCGCGCGCTAAACGATTCCGAACTATTTAGACAGAAACAGAGCTCCTTTAAACAATATGTACCACGAGGCATCTGTTTCCCTTCAGAGCCACAGTTCACGCTGATCATATGCTTGGAGTCAGACGCACCACTCTCTTTACTTCATTGTTTCCCTCTCCGGAGAAGCTATTTCTATGGTAATGGATGCAACCTTCTCTCCAGAGACGCCGAAGACGCTGGGAGGCCTTGTTCGCTCAGCAAGAACTGTGCTTCAAGCGCCTTGGATTGAGGTAGAAAAGACCCTCATAATTGAGAAGAATAATGAGGAAAATAATCTCATCCTCATTAGTCTTCAGAATGATTGTAGGGCCATCTACGTATGCAGTTTTTCCTAAGCCTGCGAATAGAGAACGGGTGCGTGGCGCATCACATAAGGTTGGCGGACGATACTCACCCTCTTGATTTCCGTTTTTATCACTCAGCTCTCCTTGCAATGAGTTGAGAAAGGTCAGCATTTTTCTGCAGCTAATCTCGTGGACATCGCCATAAGAAGCTTCAAGTAGAAAAACTTGCCCCCCTTCAGCCAAGAAACCAATTTTATTGGCTCAAAGGACATAGTAGTACCAACCTAATCTCTCCATCTTATAGAAATGACAGAACATCAAGAAATAAAGCTAAAAACCTAGAAACTCCCAACGATACCAATGCAAAACCCGCTTACTCGGAATACCGTAGCTTCTGCGATTTTCTGTGCAATTACAGACGAAGCCGCTCGAAATAAATTTTCAGACATTTTCGAATTAGAATTCGCTCGTTGTTGTGATGTATGGCACATAACTGATCAGGAATTGCTTTATGGAATGGATTCTGCTAGCACTGTGTTAACTGGAGAACGCTTGCGAGCCTACTCAGCTGCGGCTGACAAGGTATATTTTAAGAATGTGTTTTTTGCTAGGTTCGAAATTTAACATTTGTTCTGCGGAGCTATGTGAAATGGTGGCTTGTTATCGTTTAGACCAGCGGTCTATTCTCACCATATGTATGTTAGCCTTCATGACTGTTGTGTAGAATTTGGTTCACTTTTCCGAAGGCGCAAAGCTATTAGGTCGTTGCAAAAGAAATGCAGGATTTTGTTTTTTTGCATTTAATACTTATTTTATTCCAATAAAATGTAAGTGTTATATATCATTCGAAAGCTTATCTAATGCTCTTTCTAAATGATACTTCAAGATTGGTTGTAATTCTTTTTAGAGGCCACGAAATCGTTGAAGGCGTTTTTGGCATCGTCTTGGTTTTTGAAGCATTTCTCTTAAGATAGTTGTCCAGATGTTTGAAAAAGTGGTAATCGGTGGGCGACAGGTCTGGTGAGTATGGTGGACGAGGCAGAGTTTCATAGCCCAATTCGTTTAACCTCTGGAGGTCGCATTGTGTTCGAGCACACGTGTGGTCGGGCATTGTCGTGGAGAAGAATAGGTATTGACCAACCTTGGGCACATGCGTTGAAGCTTCTGATGCATTTCGTCGATTTGTTGACAGTACTTCTCTGCCGTAATTGTTTCACCAGGATTCAGGAAGCTGTGATGGATGAGACCGGCGGCAGACCACCAAACATGAGGTTCATCTTCAAGGCTGGTGTTGCCAGAACGAAACTTCTGGAACCAACGTTGGACCGTACATTCGTTGACACTTCCTTGACCCCAAACTTCGTTAATGTTTCGAGCTGTCTCGGCAGCGTTTCGGCCTAGCTTGAACTCATAGAAGAAAATAGTGCGAAATTCACGTTTCGACATCTGCAATAAAATGTCAATAAAAATTATAATAAAATGAATTACAACCAATCTTGGAGTATCATTTAGAAAGAGCATGAGATGAGCTTCCGAATAGTATATAACACTTCATATTAAAGTAACATATTATTGGAATAAAATAAGTATGAAATACAAGCAAGCAAAATCCTGCATTTCTTTTGCAACGACCTAATAAATTGGACGAGTTTTCAAGCAGATGTTGATTGTCTCAAAAAACCAAAAAATGTAGGCAAGATCGGTTCGAAATCTCATATAAACCGGCAATGATTCTAAAAGCCTCGGTTTTTTTCATTATATTTCTGTGCTCAGTCAATTATTTTAATAATAAAATACATCTTCGTAGAAATAGCTGATTTGATAATTTAATCAAGCTTGCGCACCTTGGTCCGCTCCAGTTGGGGACTTTAATCTCCTCTCACGGAGCGATATTCAGAAATTGTTTAAAAGGGCTTGAAGTCTTATTCGCACTGGATGAAGGGGCGGATCCGGCGGGATGAGTTTGGCGCGGCACCAACCTCGCGTGTACGACGCTCGCTCCAACAACTGGTGAACAAAGGGTTCAGTTCTGCGCTGATTCCATCCACACCCCTTCATCCGCCGTGAAAAAGACTGTAGCTCTTGGAACTACGTATATTACGACCTGACAAGCTAACTGGGAAACATATTAGTCACCTCATAATCACGTTCTCGTAGAGTAAGGTAACCTTTAGGCATCGTTCACAGTCTGAGACCCTGAAACGGCGCTTCAGCGAAAAGCAAAAAATACTATTGATCGGAGAATCGCCAACCGCCCCGTTCGACGAACCGCCGCGGTTCAGCGGTTGGGCGAAAAGCAATAGATGCGTATCGATTTGGCAGGCTCCGCCCTAAAAACGCCGGAGTGGGCTAGCTTGTTTCGCCCAACCGCTTCGCCGAACCGCCCGTCGATACGTATCAAAACCGTTTCGCGCAACCGCCAGACTCTTCGCCCAACCGCCAATCGATACGTATCGAAAGCTTTTCGCCGGAAGCGTTTCTTTCTAGAGAAACGCTGGGCCGCAGACTGTGAACAATGCCTTAACAACCATTTTCTTTCAGGCATTAGCGCAAGTGAAAGTTGCATTAGAGAAGAAGCAGAAAGGAGCTGCAGGAGTACGACAGTCTCATTTATCGGCTTGAGGAGATGCCCAAAAAGCGATCTGAACCCGTCATGGTACAATTTCACTTTTATTATTTGTGTTCTTTCAAGGCCGCGGTAAGGCGAAGTTCGGCTTGGTGTGGGTATCAATCAATATCGATCACTCTCGATGCCTCCTGTAGAGGCCTGTGAATTACTGCAAAGCTGTGCGATAGCAAGGGCTTCTCTCAGTTGACAGGAGTCTACAGGTCCCATTAAGGTAGGACGTGTGATCTGAAAGAACCTAGGGAAAAGCAAAAATGTCCCTCTCAAGCCAAACGCGTTCCTGAACGATGGAATCCACTCCGAACGATCTGGACAAAAAATCCTTCTGACCTTAATCTAATTTCAGTGCCCGATAGGCTCAGTTGGCTTTCTTCCTGCGACTATTGTTCATACGAATGAAATACTTATTGGCCTGGGTGATGGATACTTCGTAGATACCACAGCATATCATGCTGCAGAGATCTTGAAAAGACGGAAAACTGGTTAGATAATTCTTCTTTACAACTATTTCATGAAGTTGTTGGAGTTGTCAATATAATTGTGGGGATGAGAGGGATTTCGCTCGCAACAGTTTGGGACAGAACTGCCAGAAACTGGTTGTGTAATAAGAGATCAACACGCGATGTCGCGCGGCACATGGCGTACGGCAATCCATTTGAGGCGCTCGCTGCGGCTGCATGTATATACTTTGCATCTGGGCGTTTCAGCGTCTTGAGAGGAAAGTAAAGTGGTAAGTAACAATTAGCGGCTTAAACGTGTCGATTCTCCCAAGACGCTATAATGCTGATTCTCCCTGAGCGCAGATTCACACAAAACGCTTCCAGAACGCCAGATGATACCTACACTTTCCTTCTCACTCATAACGGCCTTTTGTTCAAACTCTGATTCTCTCAAAACGCTGTGCGGCGGAGTCAGGCGGCGTTCAGACTTCGCGACGGAAGCGCGCGAATCGACGATCAATGAGCATGCTTTTCACTGCATCGATCGCGTCAAAGGCGCCACTAAAGCGCTGCCGTCGCGAAGTCTGAACGCTGCCTAAAGTACCGTTCATGTTTCGTGTCCGCGTTTCGAGCGACTGGGAAAGTATGGCCACCGATTTAGCGTTTCGAACATTCGCTAGCGTTTCGACCGTTTTGTGCGACTTAGAATGTATAGAAATCGATTACCTCTGTCAAACTCTGGCAGCCGCTAAAAGCGTTCGATCGATGTCTTTGATTTCCTTTCGCTCGAAACGCCGACAGACTTTCAGAATGTTGGCGCAAAGTGTGAACGCATTTTAACCCTGGGCTTGGGTCGCAAAACATCTGTCAACCGGATGCTCTCTCGCCGTGAGGGTCCAGAGGTGGTTTCTGATAGCATCTTCTTTTGAGCTTTCAAAAGAAGGGAACTAAGGAAACGTGGTGGGAGAAGGAAGGATGAAGAAGAAGAAAAGGAGGAAGGCTCCGCGCTAGAGAGATATCCTGAGACTCTGGACGTGTGCACCGGAATGCAGCGAGATCATGCGCATAGGGGAGATCGAGAGAGTCGAAGGGTCGCGACGAATTTACTGTTGTGCCGCACACTGAAAAGATCGTAACGTCGCGTTGTGATCTCTTGCTTCACGCGTGAGAGAACCTCCTTCTTCAGTACATTTGCCTCGTCTTATCGTTGATATTTTCAGTTGTGGAAGACAATATCGCCGATCTACATCAGCATGAAAACATAATCACGCAGCAGATTGCTTTTGCCAAAGAGATTTTCGAGCATGTAAATCTAACCTCTGAGGTTTTCTTCGCTCTTACAACAACTTTTCTTCTTCTTTTCAGCAAGGCAATTCCGATGAAGTGGAGATTCGAGAAGAGTATGACGAAGAGAAAGAAGAAGAGTTGAGAAGTGAGCTTTTGTGTAGCTCGTATTTTCAGATGTTCATGTCATTTTTTTTTCAGAAAAGCGCAGATCTAGGATACCAGCAAATCGTCCAGTTACCAAGACCGTAGCTGATGTCAAAGCCG